AAATAATTTGTGAAAAAGTATTATCAATATTTTCTAATATATAATAATGTAATTTTAAAAAGATATATTATTTATTCTTTAATTAAATGACAAAACTTTGATGAAAAAATATGGAAGTAAAAACAAATTTTTAATATGAAAACATAAAATGATATTTTAAAAAATTATGCTACTTTTTAAATTAAATTAGTGTGACTTTAATTAGTCTCTATAATTCTAATTAATTATATGTATATACTCAGTTTTTATATATAAACATTTTTTAACAATTTTTTCTCACATGTGCATGTATATTTATATATTCTAATTAATTATATGTATATACTCAGTTTTGATATATAAACATTTTTCAACAATTTTTTCTCACATGTGCATGTATATTATTGTATATCAAAGTTATAAGATGTTCATTCACCATAACTAGTTTAGATCAAATAAAGTTTTGTTTTTTATTACTCATGCTCAATTATTTATTTTTTATCTTTATTATTTTTAGGTGAAATTTTGTTGTTTGATTTTTGTTCCCTTGATTTCTTTTAATCTATACTTAAAATTTTTTATAAAAATTAAATCATTTTTTTCTTCAAATCATCAAAATTTTACACACACAAAAAAAACTTAAAATTTTACTTGTTCAAAACTTAATCTTATATTTTGTAATTACCTTCAAATTTTATATAAAAAAAATGTAAAGTTTTCCTAATTTCACATTTTATTTTTCTTTAAATTTATCAAATTTTTACTAATTTTCTTAGTTCTTGTGAGGACTTAGTTTAATCCTCTTAGAATCTACCAAATTTGAAGGCACTGTTACATGAAATTAACTAAAAAAAATAAGCATTCTTGTGTCAACATTTCTTCTTTCACAAGAATTTATATATGACAAAGTTTTGATAGTTTGTCGTTAGGTAGGAGGATTCGTCGTTGAAAAAGACATTTTGTTATATCAAGATTGGAAGTTCATTGTTAAGCATGATGCCTTGTCCAGGACCGTCTAAATTAATGTTAAAAAGGTTAACGTTGACTATATATAAGAGATAAATCAATGTTGACGAAATATATTTCAATATTCTTAAAATTAATAATTAATTGTATATTTTTTATTTAATATTTTTTTACTTTATTTTTATATAATGTTACTACTTTAAAATTTATATCTGAAAATAATAAGTAAAAGATAACGAGTATTAATTATTTTCTTTATATATTTTACAATTTTTTTTTCGTTATTTTCATTCTCTTCTCTTTTTCATTATTTTTGTATTCTTTAAAGATAAAATAAATAATTGTTAAAATAAATAATTTACCTCAAATTATTGTTGTGAATAAAAACAATACATAATTCTTATCATCATATAGAGCTTAAGTTTTATAAAATAACGTAAAATTTACAAAACATCATTTTGATGATAATATTGGTGATAAGATCACATATTCAATAAAAAATAATTTCATATTAAATATTTTGTATATATAATAGATTGATCAATCTATTTCTTCTATTGAGATTTGACTTAAACAATTTTTATAATATGAAACTATTTTTAAATTTTTATTTGAATTCAAAAAATTTAAATAAGTGAAGATGAGTTAAAAAATATTATTGTATTTATTTTAATTATTTTTAAGATTTTATAAACATTTTAATATTGATGATCTTGATTTATTATCAGAATTAAAATTATTGTGAAAAGTTTTAGAAGAAAAAATTAAGATTCCAAAGAGAGTATTAAACTATATAAAAAAATTCTGTTTATTGGAGAGCATCTTTACAAGAGGAAAAAAAAAAAAAAAGAATTTGCTCTTCTTTTAAGAGAGATTTTACGAGTTTTCAATCTTTATACACATTTTCATTCATACATGTCGTTTCCTATGGATGTAACTTACATTGGATAAATCACGTACTTTAATTTTTTTTTAAAATTTTACTCTTTCTACCATCAACAATTAGAATCAATATCCACCAAACTCTGATACGGTAAGTATAATAGAGAATAAATTAAAAAGAGAAAATCATAATTTAAAAATTTTGTAATGACATTCTTTCTTGTGTGATCTGCAACATTTTGGTCGGATAATATGTTTCAGAGCATAAAATTTGGATATTTTAATAGCACTAATAATTTAAGACTTTGATGCATCAAGATTTGTAGTTTTTTTTAACACTAATTTATTGAATCAATATAAAAAAGGTGAAGGTTATGTTTCTACCAACTTACTTTTTATTAAACTTATTTAAAATTAATTATCCCATTTAATGAAATAATATGTTGATAAAAAATAAAATATTATTTACAAATAACTTAATCAATATAAGTTTATTTTATTGATAACAAAAATATATAACTAAATAAGTTAAAGTATTAATTACAAAATCAATATACCTAAAACATTCTATATTATTGTTCAGTAATAAAAATAATTTATAAATTCAAATAAGGAAAGCCAATATAAATTAATAAGATTTTAATAAATAATCTAAAAATTATTTCATAAATTTATTATTATAATTAAAATTTCAAAAACTTAACTACAAATTTATAATGTAAAAAATCTTAAATCTAAATTAAATATAAAGAATCAAAAATATAAATATATTTTTTAATTTATCAAAATTTAAGTCTAAATTGAAATATATTTTAAATTTTACTTTAAAATGTCATTAAAAATATTTTTCTTGATCTTACCTCCTTTATCTTCTCTCATCTTTGTACATCATTTTTTTTCATTAGTCTTTGTTCTTTACATGTTACTTTAATTTTCTTGGAGTTTTGCACCTTCTACCATCAACACTTCTAAAATTTCAAAATATTTTATATTTAAATTTTTTTATAAATTCAAAATATATGCATAAAAATGATAATTCAAAATTTTCGGGCAAAAGAAACTTAAAATAGACTAAATTTTAATTCAAAAAATTAATAAATAATAAAATAATTTAAAAATATCAACTATCTATTAGTATTTGTGAACAAATATTATTGATAAATATTACGATAAATACCGATAGTGAGAAGAAATATCAGACAAATAATAAAAGAAAGAAAAGAGAAAAGAGTGAGCAATGAAAGAGAAAAAAATAAGAGATCATACAAATCAGAAAAATGAGTGAAGAGAAAAAGAAAATAAAAGAGATAAATAAATAATATAAAAAAATAAAACAAAAACTCAAAGGATTGGAATAGACTAAATTACATTTTTGTCTCTTTGTTTTTTTGTCAATTTTGTTAATCTTTCTAATTTTAAAATTAAAAATTTTGGTTCTTTTATCAAATTAACAATATTTAATAACATGACAATTGAAGATAAAAAAAAATTAAAATGCAAATAAATTTTTTAATAAAATCAATATTTATCATTCATTAAAGTAAAATCTTACAAAAATATTTATGTTATTATTTAATTTTTATCATTATATGTTACGTTACTAAATATCACACCACTTAGATGATATATTATCAAATAATTTCAAAATTTAACAATAAATAATTTTTAAATTGATGATACGATAAAATTTTAATTTAAAAAAATGAAATATCTATTATAAAATAGGACGAGCACCAAAATTAGAAATCGATAAAAAAAAAATAAAAGAACTAAAAGTATACTTTAGTTTGTAATAGTTAAAATTTTTATTAAGTCTCACAAAATTATTTTAATATTATAAAACCTTTTTGTAAATTTTTTGATTTTATACCAGTGTCTTAAAACTTCACGTTAAATTAATTTAGCCTAATTTAACTTAACTGATAGATAAATAAAATCTGACTAAAAATAATTTTTATCAAATATTATTCAAATAATTTGACTTTAATACATTAACCACAATTGTTTAAAATCGTAAAAATGAAAATACTATCCGATTTTGACATATATAAAAAAATTTAATTGTGTTTATCGAATACCATTATTACTTATGAAAAAAAATTCTTTTGAAATATTAATATAATATTCCCTTAATATCACTAATTAATAATGTTATTTCACATGACATCCTTTCAATTTTTTAGGAAAGGTAGAAAACAGATGCTTTTGTTTTATAAGAATTAAATATATAATTTTAGTCTTTTCAATATTATTTCCAAATATTAATTAAAAATTTATGTTATTAATTCTTATAAATTATTTAATGTTATTTTCAACAATTTAATATAGCATTAAATTTTAAATTACAATGAGTTATTTCTTAATATTTAATACGTTTTATTTTAAGACTTCGGTAAACAAAATTTTAAGGATATTTATTTATTTTTATTACTATTAATTTAAAACATTTAATATATTTATAAATATTTAGTTACTTCAAATTAAAATAATAAATGTTTTTATAATTTTAACATATTAGGATAATAGAATTTTTAATAATAAATGTTTTTATCTTAAGAAATAATATTTACTATTTTCACTGACAACACCTTTAATATATTTTTTATTATTAATTAAAACTTGTTACAAACTATCTGTCAAAATAAAAGAAAAACTTATTGCAGAATATAAATAAGACCATAAGACTTGCAAAAATTAAATAACTTCAAAAAGATTTGTCCAGTAATATTTTCAAAAGAATAGCATCCAAAAATAATTTACTTTTTTTCTTAATCTAATTCCTTAACTAATTGAGTTCGGTCATTTGTAATTGTTTTATTTTTGCAACAAATAAATTACTCTTTATCGTTATGTATAAAATTATTTAATGCGAATCTGACCGTACTTGGCTTTGTTGCGGGAGAAGGATAACTACAAACGATCCAAACACCGAATAAGACCTTCCACGTAAAGTACAACTTTACGTGGAAATTATATACATGCACATGCAAAACGTTACACGTTTATTATGTGCATGTATCATTACTCTTCGCACGTTGGATTTTGGGATAGTAACTAAAATATTAAATACAATCTAGGATAAGACAAGTAGGGTACATATTTAATGAAATATTAAATATATTTCTAGGATGGGCAAATAGAAGTCTATAAATTAAATTGAACTATCTCAGGATGCATATACAACCTCATAGAATTTTGTGTAGGTTCTCTATTCCTCTCCTCTCACATTCAGTGAAAATGATTTTATTTTTCGCATAATTTGCCGCATATAGATATATGAAATCAGATCTCTGGCATTGACTCAATAAATCTACCGTAACAATATCCCCATGAATTTCTCCGGTTTTCTGCTTCGACTTCGGTTTTGTTCGCATGGAAGTTGCTAGTCACCGCAAGCAAAAAACGGAGGTTACAATATTTTGTTTCAAGCAGTCTCTGCCTTCTTTCCATCACATGTCTAGCAAGTTTTGGATTTTTTAATTTAATTTTAAAACTTAATCTTTGTAATTACTAGCTTAACTGGTAGCAGTGTCAGTCACCGGTTACTTTCCGAAGGTAATATTGAAACCCACCTCGGTCAATGTTGAAAAACTGCATCTTTGCTCTGCACTTAATTTTTCTAATTTATTGATGTTTGTTTCCCAAAAACTTTTTTTTTTTCCTGTCAGGCTCCTGGAAATAGCTTTTAAAGATGTGCCCTACGGCCAAAAATTGAGCTTTGTGGAGTATCCTGAAACAGTTTCGTTAGGCTGTTTTGTTTATAATCCTTTTCCACAAGGATTTTTAGCCATTCTAACTGAGAGCTCTGAAACTCAATGGAGGTTGGAGAATCAGAGAGAAAGATGCCTCAAAAGCAGGTTCCTTGGGTACCCGCCACCCCGTTGAGGCCCATTCTTCCGACGCCAGCGCCGATCTGGACTACTGGGGAGGGAAGCCAACTGGGCTCTTATTCCAATGGTGTAGCGGCATGTTTTGAAGCCTCAGCAGGTGCAGAGATGAACCACTGGTCTCACCGCTGGTCAGAACCTGCGCCTTTAGCCCATGACAATGCCAAAATTCGCGTACCAATATCATTTGCTGGCCTTTCCGGCTCAAGTAACCGCATTGCTGAACTTTTGACTCAACCAGATGCTTCATCAGCATATTCCAGTGCAACACATGATGACTTTTTCAACCAGCTTGTTCCTACATATAATTCAGAGTTCAACCCGGCCTATTCATTACTTCGCCATCACCATCATCATGTCTCTCGGGAGCAACCGTTTCTCAATACTATCCATGACCAGTATCAAGATCTTCAGGGTATGGGCAATAAATTTTGGTTTAAGCTCGCTTTGTTTTATGGCATTGTATCAAAACGTTTTCCTTTGATTACCGTTTCACACACAAAGATCACTAGCACTAGCACTTTGTCAGTGCCAATTAGTTGAACCAAGTAAACCCCATACACAAAATTGAAATGTGTCCTTAAATATTACATAAGGATGGAGCCATTCAAGTAGATATCTGACCTACAACAGCTGTGAAACAAACTTGGATCCTCTCCTGCCTTTAGCTGGACGAAAACATATCAGAAGAGGATCCAAGTTCGTGAGAAACAACTACAGTAGTCATTAATAGCATAGGTAGCTTCTACTCCCTTCCAAATTCTATCATGTTAGGTTCAGTTATTTGTCCCACCTCTGAACATTAACATTGTATTTTTACACCTGAGTACACTTGTTTTTTTTTTTTTTTCCAAATCACAAGGGTAAAATATGGTGACACCATGGCCAGGCTAATAGTCTGTTTAAAACATCTCATTTACAAACTAGTTTTCTATAAAATCAGCTTATTTGCAGGATCTTCCTTTCCTTATTATTATTTTTTTTTTGCAACACATTTGATCAATCTTGGGACAATTGTGGGCACAACATCCACCATTTGCACATCCAATATTTTGTTCATTTCTTCACAATGCTCGATCAATGACTCTAATTCACATATATAAAATGTCTTGCAACAGGCACACCATACTTTGCTTACTATAACAAGGCATTACCCCAAATTGCCCCAACCCCAGCTAATGACATCACAGCAGAAGCCAGACAAGATGCAGAAACACAAATAACAACTGAAAAAAGGAATCAAGAGGGAGGGGAGAAAAATGTCTCACCCACACCATGCAAGTCTGTTAAAGAAGTTGCTGCCCTATCTACACCATATAAGGAAATAAGCCATGATTTTGATCTGAATAAAACACCTCAGCCAAAACCAAGAAGAAGAAAGCACCGACCCAAGGTCATCAAAGAAATCAAACCCAAAAGGCAGCAAGTTGCTACAAAGCCCCCAAAAGATCCATCAAAAGAAAAACCTACTGAAAAGAAGGCAAGAAGGAAAGGATTGAACACAACTTCTACTCCTCAAACAGAAGTGACACAATGCACAAAATCTGCCAAAAAGACATGTAGAAGGTCCTTGAATTTTGACATAGAAGAACAACCAAGAAATGATAACTCTGCATGCAGAGAAAATGTGATTACACATTTTGGCAGAAACATCAGTGCAGTGGTTGAGGAAACACAAGCCTTAAATAACCTCGTGGCATTACAAGGAGACTCGAGGGATTGGATGATTGCTCAAGATTACAATCAAAATTTGAGCAGAGAGTCACCTCAGTTACATGCAGTTGGTTCCAAGAGAAAACAACCTGTTATTGAACCGCTAGATAATAACAGCATTAATCTGATTGGAGCACAATATAATGCAGTGCAGGCATACAGCCAAAAGTATTGTGTCCAATTTCCAAATGTCCAGAAAAAAAGGAGAAGTGGAAAGGGCAGAATTTCAAACACACCCTACCCATCTTCCGTGACTGCCACAAAAGATGCATCACTAGCAACATGCCTACAAGATGCTAGATCACATTTTTATGCATCATGTCCTACTTTGTGGACTTCTGCTTCTGAATATAATGCAGCTGGTGTCCCAGTCATAAATACAGTTACAGAAAGGGCTATTCATGATAAACCTCAATCACTTGAGTATAACTTATCTTTAGGGCAGAGGAGGCCAACCAAAAGAAGATCGAGAGTCCCTGCTAGAAAGTGTGATGCCAAAGTAGCATGTACCAGAAAACAAACATGCAGTTCTGACAGACCAACATTTGGGGATGCCGAAAGACCACAGACATGCATCGATGCTTTAGTTGCAGAGATGCGGGCATCACTCACAAAAAAGAAACGAACTAGAAAGAGAAGTATTTCTGTCAGCTCAGCATATGCTTGCACAAATGCAATGCAACAGCACCATAAAGTCATGTTGGAGTCACAAATATCATTAGGTATTTCAACTGATAATTTTAATTTTTTTTTTGGTCAATTAACATTATGGTTGTTATAGAACAAACAATTCTGCCAAGCTGTTTATCTTAAGGCTTTAAGCTGTTGATGCAGGTGTTGCTCGTGAAGAGATATGGAAAAACATACATACTGTGGATGCATTAACAGAGCAATTTAGACACCTAAACATATACAGAGAAGCTACAGAGCTTGTCCCTTATAACCAGCAAAATCAAAAAAACAAAGGACTTGTCAGTGAAAATGGCACCATGGTTCCCTATAAAGGCCCATTTGATCCCACAAAGAAGCATGCACGACCTAAAGTTGACCTTGATGAGGAGACTAATAGGGTTTGGAGGCTTCTATTGTTGGATATAAACAGTCATGGGATTGATGGAACAGATGAAGACACGGTCAAATGGTGGGAAGAGGAACGAAATATGTTTCACGGACGAGCAGACTCATTTATTGCACGGATGCATCTTGTACAAGGTATCAATTATAAACTTTCAGGAATATCTAAGCACTATTCACACACTCCTGACAAATACTCACCTAGTTGTGGTTGTGCTTAAAGGGGGTAGAAGTGAGAACACTATTCATTAGGAATATATCAATAAATTTAACAATATCTGTTTTCCTGCCTTACAAAAAACCAGCTGTAAACCCCACTTACAGAAAACCAAGCGACAATGAACACTAATAAAAAACAATCTTTAATAATAATAGTTTATGAAAGAGATAAACCAAGGGGTAAGGCGTCCAGTTAGGTAGTTTCAATCCTACAATAGATTAGGGGCAGTTACGTTTTTATTTCTTGTTTTCATTTTCTATTTTCACAATTTAATTACAAAATTGTCATATTATTTTTAATTTATTCCTTATTTTCAAAGATTTGTACAAGAAATAGAGAGGGGGGAAGGGGGGGATTTTTTACAGTGGTTTTTGGTCTTCTTAAAAAACAAGAAACAGATTGAAAAACAATATAACAATTTTATAATTAAAAAGTGAACAGAAAATGAAAACAAAAATAAACAGCCCCTTAGACTAAATACAAAATCTAAAAATTATCTGAAGGATAAAGAAAAATACTAAATAATCAAAAACAAAATCACAAATCAACCTAAATATGCTTATTCATCCTGCATCATTCAGTTGAACAGTTTACATCCTAATAACATAGCACATATTCAACAGGAGACAGACGCTTTTCTAAATGGAAGGGATCAGTTGTGGATTCCGTGGTTGGTGTTTTCCTCACTCAAAATGTCTCGGACCATCTTTCCAGGTATAAATCGTTCAAAGCTAATTACTGAGAAGCATGCAATTAAAATAAACAAAAACAATACTATATTTAAAAAAAAATTATCCCTTTTCTGTTGGCAGTTCTGCATTCATGTCCCTTGCTGCTCGATTTCCTCTAAGGTCAAGCAGCAAGTACAAAACATGCCAGGAGGAAAGCACAAGTGTGATAGTCAACGAACCACAAGTGTGCATTGTGGAGCCAGAAGAAAATGAAAAACTAGATGAGAAAATATTGGATCAATCTGTTTGTGAATTGAATTCTTTGACAATAGACATCATCGAGCATTCTGAAGAAAGAGAAGCTGTTGACAGCAATGATTCCTGCAGATCTACCAACAGCTTAATTGGTGTAACAGATAAATCAAACAGCAAATTGATGGAATCAGCTGAAAGACATAACAGTGAACATAGTCCAGTGGAGAGTGGAGCAATGAGTGCCATGACTGGGGAAGGGCAAGAAAATTTATGCCATGAAAGTGCTAGGAAAGAGTTAAATTATGTATTTTCATCCCAATGCTCTGCCGTTACATCTCAAATGTCAGGGGATTTTTCAATAGATCAAAATCCTGAAAAGATAGGATCATTCTCAGATAGCAACTCAGAAATAGAAGACCTGTCAAGTGCTGCCAAGTACAACATTTATCATAACAGAACTTCTTTCAGTGAGCTTCTAGAAATGGCAAGTTCAACCTTGTTGCATGAAGTTAACAGTCAAAGAAGTAAATCCACTGAGAACTTAAGAGATACATGCGGTCCATCTATAGACATGAAGCATGACAACCTGGTAGAAAACTTGGAAAAATCAAATGTTACTGAAGGCTCCTTAGAAGCATCCATCAATGAATATACTTTGAAAATAGCCCCAAACTCAGGAGTAGTTGAAGTAAACTGTTATGATCCTCTCAACATAGAAGCCCCATCCAGTGGCTCCTCAAAGAATAAAGATGAGAATGACAAAAGATCCAATTTTCCAACAGAATCTGACAGCCAAGCTGCAATTGTCCATTCTCAAGGTATGCTATCTCAACTCCATCCTCAGCAACAAAATAATCACAAGAAGCATAATGTTTTTCACATTTCAGGGCAAACTCAAGGTCCGATGCAGAAAGCCAGGGAACTGGATTTCGGTGACCACAACTATGCCATAAGGAATGAAAACAGTAAGAAGGATTCTGCCCCTGCAAAATCGAGGAAAAGGGAGCGTGGAAAAGTGAAAAAAGTGAAAAATGTGAAAAAAGTGAAAAAAGTGAAAAAAGTGAAAAAAGTGAAAAAAGTGAAAAAAGTGAAGAAAGAGAAAAAGGAGAAAAATAATGATTTTGATTGGGATAGTTTAAGAATACAAGCACAAGCCAAGGCAGGGAAAAGAGAAAAGACAGAGAACACTATGGACTCAATGGACTGGGATGCTGTAAGACGGGCAGATGTCAATGAAATTGCTAAAGTAATCAAAGAAAGGGGCATGAACAACATGCTTGCTGAGCGTATTCAGGTAGAATCTAATATCCCTGAAATAGTATTTATCTTCAATAATTTTTCAGAGAAAACCTTTAACATAGAGTACATCAAATGGTTTAATATGCAGAATTTCCTGAACCTGTTGGTTGACAAGCATGGGGCCATAGATCTTGAGTGGCTGAGAGATGTCCCACCTGACCAAGCAAAGTAAGTCTAGAAATTAGTCAAACTACTTCATTGAAATCATATTTTCATGATGGTTTAGTTGGCAAAACCAACATCCTGAGCTCTCAATTACCTACCAACACAAATAATATATATAAACACTCACAAGCAGTAAACCTCAAATTACCCGGCATAATGTATATTCTATTCATGCATCCAGAGAATTCTTGCTCAGCATAAAAGGATTGGGATTGAAAAGTGTGGAGTGTGTACGGCTCTTAACACTGCACCATCTTGCTTTCCCGGTAAGTTGAAAACAGAAGTATGAAATTAGAGGAATGTGGAATATATTTTTGACATTTCATTGCTACACAATAGGTGGACACGAATGTTGGACGTATAGCCGTTCGATTGGGATGGGTACCTCTCCAGCCACTGCCAGAATCGCTACAGTTGCATCTTCTAGAATTGTGAGTACTACAAAATAAATAGTATAAGGTAGTTATTCAATTAGAAAATAAGAGCTAACCTAACATCATTGGACTGTATAGGTACCCAGTGTTGGAATCCATCCAAAAATATCTCTGGCCTCGACTCTGCAAGCTAGACCAAAGAACATTGTAATGATTTATTTTCAATTTGAAGTCTTACCTTAAATGATTACAAGTATCTTCTTATACCTGATTTAATTTGTCTATGGATTTAAATTTGATCAATGACCAAAATTAAACATTTACACAAAATCACTAGATCATGCAAAGCCACGTCCTTCAAAGAGTTTGATTATGATAACAACTACCTGAGATGACATACTCTTAATTATTTGGCACTACATAATTAGATGATAGTGTTAAAAGTTCTCCATTAGCAAGATCAAAAATTAAAGTCTATATTTATTGATTTTTTTTTTCATTTTTTGTTGCTATTTATCACAGGTATGAGCTGCATTACCAGCTGATTACATTTGGAAAGGTAAACTGCATTTTCTCATATATTCTCATATATTGGAGATTGACCATACTTAAGTGAAACCCTGTTGTGATTGGAACCGAAACTAAAATCAATTCATGCAGGTCTTCTGTACTAAAAGCAAACCAAATTGCAATGCGTGCCCAATGAGAGGGGAATGCAGACACTTTGCAAGTGCTTTTGCAAGGTATGTCTTAGATAAATTAATATTCTTCGTACCTATTATGCATACAATAAACGGGTGTAAAAACCATTATGCAATGCAACAGTTTTTCACATACATTAGAAATACTGCAAATATCATTGTCAGAAAGATAGAGGGAAGTTGGAAGTTAAATATATGACGTTCATAGATTCGGTATTATTATGCCTAATATCTCATTAGTTGTTATACTGACAGCACTCTAATTGCATTTTTCCCTCGAAAGTAAACTCACAAAAAGGATGTTGATACCACTTTCAAGATTAAATAATATGCATGTCTTGCAAGTTATGAATTATGACAGACCAATTCAAAAATAAACAATCTTAAATATTGCAGTGCAAGGCTTGCCCTACCAGGACCAGAGCAAAAGAGTATAGTTATCGCAACTGGAAACAATGCAACTGAGCAGAACCCATCACTAGTCACCAATCAGCTGCCCTTGCTTCTCCCTGAAAATACAAACCAAAGAGAACTTCAACAGACAGAATTGACCAGGCAACTAGAAGCAAAATCTGAAATCAATATCAGCCAACCTATTATCGAAGAGCCAACAACTCCAGAGCCAGAATGCTCCCAAGTATCAGAAAATGATATAGAGGATACCTTTAATGAGGAGTCGGACGAAATTCCCACCATCAGACTAAACATGGAAGAATTCACTTTGAACGTGCAAAACTATATGGAAAAAAACATGGGCCTTCAAGAAGGCGAAATGTCAAAGGCCTTGGTCGCTCTACATCCAGATGTTGCATGCATTCCTACACCCAAGCTGAAGAATGTGAGCCGATTGCGAACAGAGCATTATGTGTAAGTGAGAAAAGTAATTCATTTCAGGCTAATTAACTGGAATGCACAATTCTTATACTAAAAACAGCCTAACTTATGAACGAGAGGCAAATTAATTAAAAAACACTAATTCATGACATATGGTTTTCATTAGAATCACATTAACGTTGAAACATGCAAAGATGAAGAGTTAACAGGCATGACAAAGAAAATATGAATCTCACAAGTCACACCTTGCACCACTATTTATATATAATTATTTAAATAAAATATTTTATATTATAATATTAAATATTAACCTTAAATTCTAAATTGCACTATTCTCTTTATTCAAATAGTTGTTCTATATTCTATTGATATTTTTAATTATTGTTTTAAATAGTCTAACCCTTGGTCTTTTTATCATGTTTTAGTTTCTATTGGTATTTTTGTATTACATTGCTCTCCCTGAATAAAAATACAATAAGTTCCTCTTGAAAAATTATTCTCTACAAATAAAAAAAAGTACATCAATATCTAGACTTGATAAATAAGCATTTATACAAATATGGAGAATTGGCAAAGTTCTAATGAGCATCACACATCCATCATCCTATATTAGTGAAATGTTCTTGCAATTTATACTGATATTCTGTTCCCTTACATGCAGTTATGAACTCCCTGATTCACATCCTATTCTGAATGGGGTTAGTTATTGCTACACCCATTAACCATAGTTGTTTTTTTGCTATATGTCCAATTCTATTAATTAGTTATAAACTACAGTGGGACAAGCGAGAACCTGATGATCCAGGCAAATACCTTCTAGCTATATGGACTCCAGGTGAACAAAAATAACTTGAACACCATGCCCTTTTTAAATCAATTTGAATTGATTGTAAAGTTTTTTGTTGGCATCCTACAGCATAAGTTGGGATGTTTTACAATATATGTTTGGCTTTCATTTTCTGATGTTTTACAATTCATTTTGCCAAACACAATGTGTACAACAGGGGAGACAGCGGATTCTATACAGCCACCACAAAGAAAATGCAGTTCTCAGGACTGTGGCCAGCTCTGTAATGAGAAGCAATGTTTTTCATGCAACAGTCTCCGTGAAACAAATTCACAGATAGTTCGTGGGACACTCCTGGTCTGAATGATTAACCATGCATTTTTTAATAATTCTTATACATTAATAACATTAGAACAAAGAGTTGGGTAGGGGAGTAATTTGCATCTGAATGCAAGTATTATAGGCTGACTTGAAATAATTCATGAACAGATACCATGTCGAACAGCTATGAGAGGGAGTTTTCCACTAAATGGCACCTATTTCCAAGTCAACGAGGTAAGACAGTTTGGAATCCCATATTAAATCCAGTAAAGCTCTAAATTGGTCCCTACTTTTTAATTTAAGAAGTACTAAAAATATGTCATTTGAAGCAGGTTTTCGCAGACAATTACTCAAGTGTTAACCCAATTAGTGTTCCCCGGAGTTGGATATGGAACCTTGAAAGGCGAACAGTGTATTTTGGAACCTCCGTAACATCCATATTTAGAGGTAATCACTTAATTAATGACCTATTATAATAGATATCAAGCAATTAAATTGAGTGTATGTTTTTTGTCAACCAGGTTTATCAACACGAGAAATTCAACAATGCTTTTGGAGAGGTAAGATTGAGCTCCCATAACGTATAGTTCAACCTATTCTTATCAGTGTAATATAGCTTTCATTGGTTCGCAGACTTGGTAGACATACTAAGAGTTCAAAGAAATAAAACCTACCACTTGTACAACTTGATTCACTTGTCACATGATGGATGCCACCATCATGTGCACCAGCTATGTATTGGTCTTAGGTTTAAAACAACTAATCGCCTATATGTGCCACACGCCCACTTTTATAAATGCTACTGAAGTTTGAATCTGTAGCACATTAAATAACAGTACACAAACAAGGCCAGAGACATCACCATTCCAATTAATTAGAAACATGACTTACTTCACAAGTGATGAGAAAGATGTGAAATACAGCATATTGTTTATGATATATATTAAATGCATATTGATGGGGTATTTTACAACTTTTAACCCAGTCAAGTCTGTACGGCAATTTCTAGTTCTACTTACTACTAAAGCCACCCATGTAGTTTACTTTTGGCAGCAACACTCCTTAATCAGAACAAACAGAAATTCTAAAACCATGGTGGATTGTAACTCTCCTTGGTAGCAAGTCCGTTTTGCCAAAAATCTTAAACCGCAAGGACTTATTTTAGTAGTCCAGCAAGTTACCACGTTTCTCCTCATCAGTTCAGTCATTACTTAGTTAGTCTTACACATGCTCTTCTCACATTGGAATATTCACAAGTACACGTTAGAATGTTTGCAATATCTATTTCATATCAATCTCAATCATCTTAATTCCCATACCAATTTGTATATCTGGCTATCGTGATTCCTTTTTATTCTTTTGGAGTAATATATGACATACTACTTTTAAGTTCATCTACAAAATCAAGGAGAAGTACGGAACAAAATCCTCTATGCTTATTACCAAGATGTGCTACACAGTTCTTATTTCTTGTTTTTCTTTTAGTTAGAATTTATTTCAAAATCAATGATGAAAAATCACTCTATCCTGATAAAAGGAACACACGATAATCTACAAGAAAAACAACTAACCATGTAACTTAACATATCTAAACAGTTAGTGAAAATGTTTTGCAGGATATGTTTGTGTACGAGGATTTGACAGGGAAAAGTGTGCACCCCGTCCTCTGTTAGCTAGACTACACTTCTCGCCTAGTAAGTCGCCAAAGAACAAGGACAAGACCAAAAAAGAGTCCAAATCGAGAAAAACACAAGGATTGAGAAAGAAAAAAAATACAGAACAGCCAGAATTGCTTTCCAACAATCACAACCTTCAGGAGACCGGTGGACCCTGAAGACATACCGTTGTTATTCATCCTGTACTCTGTATGTGTAATAACAAAGCCATTTTCATGCTCAAATATTGAGCAGTTTTCTCAGACTAAGACTAGGACCAAGACAGTATAACGGTAGCAAATGTGTTTTTTTAGCTCCGTGAAGATTGAAGAGGAATACCAGCCAGGTGAGTCGAAGCTGCTTGCGAAAATGCTCAGAATAGATAAACTCATCGATATTATTCTAGATTTGAATTTTATGCCTTTTTTTTCAATTGACTAATTCCGTCTGCAGAATCCATCTATTTTTCACCTTGAGCAATTCCGTTTTTTATTTGCAGAAAAATGTCATAGTAAGGTATTATTCCGAATTATAAACTTACTTGCAACAAACCAAGATCGTGTAGCTTATCAAAAATTGTGCACGCCTGTGATTTAGCAACAAGAGCATTATAGTCAGAAATCCAAAATTGTTAAACAATGTTAGTAGTATAGTAAACCCTAGCACAGCGCGTATCAAAAAGATTAACAGATAAATTAAATCAATCCTAGCGCAGTACTATCAAATCGAAGCCTTAGAATGAGGATTGAGGAACAAAAAAGCTGAAGGAGTAGAGAGATTTCAGATCGATATGAGAGAGTACCTTTTAAGTCTTGCTTTCGGAACCAAAACCTGAAAAAACAGATTTCCAGAGAGAATGAGAAGAGCGAAATATATGCAAGCAAAGAAGAGATTGAAAATAATTATGTACAGTATATATATTTCCCTCTTTTGCCGCCTTACCGTTTTTTCGTATTTCATATATGATTCATTTTTCCCTCTCCTTTTTATTTATCATTTTCTTTGTTAATTTTGGCTATATTTTCCTTTTGCCGCTTACGTCATTTTCATTCCATATACATTTCCCTTACCTTTTTATTTTGTCCTTGGATGGGTGGTTCCGCCCGTAGGGATGGCAACGGGGCGGGGCGGGTACGGATTTTATGATACCCGTCCCTATTCTCGCGAGTCAAAATTCATTCCGGTCCCCGTACCTGTCGGGTATGTGGTTTTTATCCCCATTCTCGTCCCCGTCGAGTATCGGGTATACCCGTACCCGTCAATTTTTTTATTTTTTATTTTTTGTAAAAAGAATAATATTTTTTTATTATATTATAATTATAATTAAGTTATTTTTCTATATCATATTATAATAAATAATCACACATAAAAAATATTAATTTTTTTTAATATAATTAAATTAAAAGTGAGTATTAAATTAAAAATGGAAACGGGGACGTTAAAAATGGAAACGGGGACGGGTACGGGTACGGGACGGGTAAGTACATACTCGTACCCGTACCCGTACCCGATTTAATATATCGGGTTTTACCTGTACCCGTACCCGTACCCGGTCAAACCGGATATTTCTCGTCAAAGTCGGGACAGGTTCGGGTATTACCCGCAGGTACGGGTATATTTGTCATCCCTATCCGCCCGTAGTGACTTGTTTACCTATTAGATTCGTTCGAAAATAAATTTAATTTGAATTAATCATATATAATTTAGTTTTGTTTTGGTTTTGAATTTTTTTCAGTTAATTTTTGCTAAATTATTTTATTTAAATTGAGTTGGTTTGATTTTGATATGATGAAAATTTATTATATTTTTCTTAAGTTTTGTCTTTAATTTTTTTATTTTACTGTAATTCAAGTCAAAAGTATTTTTAATTCTTTAATGATAATTATTTATTTTAATTAGTATTTTTAAATAATTATCTTTTACTCCTCTTATTAATTTCTTCACCCAAGACCAAGATAAGATACAAAAATTACATAATAAACATAATCAATTTAAATCTCTCAAAAAGTCTCACTACCTTGTCACATTCCTTAAGGTGTGACTTATATATTTATTGAAAAGTTTAATTTAGTATTACTTGGTTATATTATAAAGTTTAGTCAGAGGTTATAGTAGGCTGGATTATGTTGAGTCTAACTTTGATTAAAAATATATGATTCAAACATATCTTCTTTGCTTGTTATAAGTTATTTTTAAAGGTTAGATCAAACTTACATAAAAGTTTAACTTGGTCTACAAATTTATTTCATAACTTACTATATAATAATTTAACATTAAAGTATAAGTGGAAATAAATGTTAGGTTATATTTAAAAATAATAATAATTTGTTTATATGGTATACGCATATTTTTCATACAAATTGTTAATCTCCGGTATATGATAGGTTAACTTGTTTTTATTATAAGAAAAATTGAAAAGAAAATTCTAAAATATTGTTAGTCTCCGAAATAGAACATTAATTTTCATCAAATTGTTAATTTGAATGCAATATTTACGCTTTTCAATTTGCACACGTCATGTTACATCACTAAAAAATCATATTTATATTGGTTAATGTTTAGTATCGAGTTTTTGCAATTTAGTTACATTTGTCAATTTAACTTTAAGCATGTGAGAGATGTTTTTTTATTTAGTTTATAAAGCCACAATTATGGTTCTAACTTGCCCAATTAAATAAGAAACAAGGAAGAAAAAAAAACTGCATAACAATTATATATATATAT